CCATTTATTTTTATCCATTTATTAGTATCTATACTAGTTTCAAAAATAATTTTGAACTTTTAAAGACAATTATAACAGATGTTGACCTGGGTCAAACCCGGGTCAATTAAATCATGACCCGACCCGACCCGTTTCGGAGCTCTAGGCAAAAGGCTTTCCATAAGTAGAATCAAATGCTTAATTGACTCTTAGAATAAATTCATCATTAAAAGGTTTTGAGGAGGTAAGATTTGGTCCATTTTCTTCATAAAAATTTAAGATTCAACTGATAGAACTTGATTGAGTGTTAAGCTTGATTCATCTTCAACTTTCCGACGTTTCTATCAAAGGTATAGTGCAAGAATTAATTGCTTAATACAACAATTCATGTTAAAGGTCATTTGCACATCAATAATATTATACCTGTATAGCAGCCGTAGACAGAAGCTCTTCACTGTTTGATACCCTCTTTCGTTTTTCCTTGCCTGGTGTAATAATAGGGCGAGGTTCCATAGAAAAAGAAACAAATCTGATAATCAAGCTCAATGAGAAAAAAATGAATTTTAGGAAAAGAAATCAAGGGCTATTTATAAAAAATTGATGATGATTTATTTGTTGATTTAAGAAATTAATTAATCAATTGATTGTTGTAAATGCTTGTGATTTTTAATAAATTTTTTTTTTTGAGATTTAGTAAATATTTAAATATTTAATTACAATTATATTAATATCCACATCCCATGCTTATATTATTGTTCCTAAGCTGCATTATAATATAATAATAACGTAATAATTCTATTGGTGGTTGTATCCGTTGATTATCCGGATAATTGGTCATTCACCGAATATCCGCCAAATATCCATTGAATATTCATTGATTTATAATAATTATTTATTCCTCAGGAAAAATATTTTCAATACATTGCATATTTTTTTTAAGAAATACAAATAACAACGGATTCGATTTTATTCGTTCGGCTGTCATTGTGTTTCCAGCTTCACTAAATACAGTCAAACCTTGTCACAGCAGATGAATGAAGATTTATTTAAAACTCGTTGCGGCAAGATTTACTGATCTTGCTACAATGGATTTTTATGTTTTTATATTTTAATGTGAATGTGAAGCAAAAATTTTAAAAATTCGTTATAATTATAGTCCGCCGTGACAAGGTTTAGCTGTAGACGCTCATTTGGAGTAGAAGTTACTGCAATGCATAAATATTCTTTAGATAATAATGACACAGTTGGTATTCGTATTACTTGATATGTTATTATAATAGAAATAATGTTGGTGATAGTGTAATAGTGCATAAAATAGTATTTACATGTTAATGTATTAGTAATTCTTTCAATTACGTGGATAAAGATTTTTATTTTTTATAATTAACTGTTAATCAATGAAAAATTTTCAGCACCCGATTAACCAGATAATCGGTGAATAATTGGTAAATATCATTCGGCGGGTACCCACTAAATTTTATTATTACTAATACAGTAATAGTCGCGTGACATGTCCTGCAGAAGTTTGTCATACAGGGAGGAGGAAGTGTGATTGTTGTTATTGTTATTCACATCAATTGATTTTCCAAATTCGAAATTCGTGTCACATGAAGTTTTTTTAAAATACATAATAAACTCGAACTTCTTTGTTAGAGTAAAATAAAAGTACTCCGTTAAAACTTTCTAATGAATATTCTTTTATATAGAAAGGTATTCTCTACATGAATTCACGGCTGTTCAAAAACGGGTATTACTTTTTCACTTCAAAGCTCAGATTATTTCTCAATATCGCTTTAAAAGACTTGATAATAAATGAGAAGGTGTAGAATACTTTAAGCTTTCATAT